CTGGCTGAGGGACGTGTTAAATTATTTGTCCTACACCGAAAAACTATAAAACAATAAAACACTATATAAGACTATTAGTTAAAAAATTGAATTGTATGATTGTATCTGTTCCTTTTCTTGATACTAGAGTTAATTTCCTATTAGAACCCGATTTCATTTGCAATCTCATAAGTTTTTTCATAGTTTGCAGGATTTTTATTATTGTACCGGATCTGTTGTTCGTAGAAGAGTATATATAAGGAATTGAAGAGTAATAAATTATAGACTTATAAGCAAGAGTTAAGAGTCAAGACTGATAGATTCACCTCTTGACTCTTAAGTTGATGGGGCGTAGGGCACTACTAGTCTACTACGGCCCTAGGACTCTAGGAGTCTTAAGTTTGGTGTTTAATTAAACCTTTGTTTAGTGATTTAGGCGAACCTAAAAGAGAAGCTAAGGTAAGGGTTCCAGAGATTTTAGGGTAGCTAGGCATATGCATGCGTGCACCCTCACCAGACACCGACCAAGCTGAAAGGATGTAAAGCATCTTTGATCATAATGGAATTTAAATCACTGCCTCTCCAATAAACTTATAACGTGCATGATACAAAAAAGCCCCACTTTACAACCAGGAGAAATATAGAGAGCAAGTGTGTGCATAATATATACGTAGTATATACGTAGTGCTATATAATTTGAATCAATGATAATATGATTAATGAGAAAATGAGAATGAATATGAAACTGAAATATGCACTAACATGAACAATATTACTGTTAGGAATAAACTCACGCAACAAAGAAAAACACACGAAATTTGATAACTTAGTTCGCCACAAAGGACTACGTTTGGGGGCACTTAGGGATGGACTGGGCCGGGCCGAACCGGCCCGGAACCGGACCGGCCCGCTACTGTGCGGGCCCGAACCGGACCGGGCCCGGTTGGCCGGTTCCGGGCTTTTAGCCCGTTTTGGCGGGTCGGGCGGGCCGGTTCCGGGCCCTGTTTTTGTTGAACCGGCCCGGGCGGTTCGGGCCGGGCCCGGTTCATTTTTTTTTTTTTTTTTTGGTTTTTTCAATTTTTTTTCTTTTCCTAGGGTAGAGCTGGGTGTTTTAGGGAGGTTTGGGGCGTGGGGGTGAGGGGGGGGGTAGGGAGATAACAAGAAAGTCAAAAAAAAAAAAAAAAAAAAAAAAACATTGAACCGGGCCCGGCCCGGCCCGGCCCGGTTAGGCCCGGACCCGGTATCAACCCGGGCCGGTTCCGGGCCCATGTAACCCGAAAAAAAGCCCGCCCGGGCCCGGCCCGGAACCGGAACCGGCCCGGCCCGGGTCCATCCCTAGGGGCACTACCAAGCCAGAATATTGCTATTAATTTTCGGATCCATGATTACAAGGAGAGAACTTGTATTTATAGAGAGTCAAACTTAATCCCTAACAACAACAGGACGCGTGCGGCTCATAAACAAAAGGACCGGAATGGGCTTGGTTATACCGTCTCTAACACCTTACAATTATGTGATGGTATTCATGTAAATAAAGTTATTTTTACTGTTGTAAACTGTAAAGTGTGCATTATCTTAACCACAAATATTATGTGTAACTGCATGAAGTGGTATGTTTTTTATATAGAATTTGGATCCAATGAAAACATAGTCTAAGGAAATAAATTAGAATGAATATATGGAGTGTTGAATCTGAAAATTGAGAATTATGTGAAACAAAAATGTGCACTAAACATGCATGTAAATGTTATATGGATGTATGTATCTATGTATATGTAGTTATGAATGTTCTAGTTCCAATAAAAATGGTATTCCCGTAAGAAAAAATATGAACGACTCTACTTGTGATTATGTTCGTGGGCACTTTTGATCATATATTGTGTACTAATTCATTGAGAAAGTGCACTATTTAAATGCATGACTTATTTAACTAAATGAAAATATAATCACTTATTTAATCGATCTTAACATTGGTTTTTTTTATCATCAAACGGGCCTCTATTCATATCAAAAGATTCAGGATCATTACATCAAACAAAGGGAAAATAAAACTGACACCAACTGAAACTCTAACAACTATGACTGTAACTCTATGGTGAGACTTTGAGACGGTCACCCCTGAGAGAGCAATATGAATCGCTAACCATGTAGTGGGCTTGACACAGCCAAACATGTTCCCATAGATCCAACCATACCCGATGACATAAAGAGAGGCAAAAAACTCGAACAAATTGTCAAAACCAACAACAAAAGTGGACACAAGAAAACAAAAAACAAACAGATAAAAACTACAAGAAAAGCGTTCACGAACTCTAGCACCTCGTACATCCCATGGTGGTGGTTCAGGAGGAGGTCGTACCACCGGTACCATGCTAATTGATCCTCCGTGACCTTTGGCTGCCAAAAACCATGCATCAATCCTCCGTCCCTGCATAACCAAACTCATCCATGCTCCGTGCGACCAGAATAAACGGATAGGCGGCGCCGATCTTCTCCAACGACGACAGCAACGCCTCATCCTCGAACCTTGACCACAACGCCGATCTCCTCGAGCCATGATAGCAAATCCGCCCTCCGAAGATGAAGCACAAACAACTGCGGCCGTCCTTCGATTAAAATCGAAGACGGAAAAAGCGGCCGTCCTTTGATTAAAATCGAAGACGGAAAAAGACTCCAAGCGGCCGAAGCCCTAGAGAGAAGCGAGAGAATCGATCTTAACATTGGTTGATAATTCATATTTTATTTATTAAGTATGTCTTAATTTTAAACTAATTATCTAAGCATATTCTCGGTTTGTATTTTTCAATTGAAAGAGCCATTTATTATTAACTCTCACTTGCATCAAAATGAAATTAATCTTGTCAATCGTCTTTACCTATATCATAAAGAAATTGCTCAAAGCCTATTTTTATCAATTAGATTTTGTTCGTAGATTACTGTTTTTCAAGACTGATTACTCATTTTTGTAATAATGGGTGTAGTATTTTTTAAGATATTATCCCTCCTAGGATTTAGAATTTTGCAAATTAGTCTTTCTATCTTTTTATAAGAAAAGAGTTTAGAATATTAGCTTTGCGACATTCTGATTATGTTAATATATGCACTAAAGTCAAAATTAGCTTTTATTTTCATAGACCAAATAAAAAAGTTGATTCTAATTGAAGTACCCTTAATTAGAAAGGAGAATATAAATTTGAGATATCACTAATTTAAGACAAATGTGTATTTAGCAATTTTTAAAATATGTAGCTAGTCTTGTTATATCGGTCTTTCCCCATTTTGAGGAATGGGTTGGAAGTTAATAGAAAGATCTTTATACATTTTTATTGAAATCATTTGTAAGTGCTTAAAAGATTTTTATTCTCATATATTCCACTTTTATTTTAATTTAGTATATGTAGTTATTATATTAAGTTAATTAAACAATTTTTAAAGGGTTATTTTCCCGTCATAAGGTTATGTCATCCTCTCATTTCACCTTATACATCATTAAAAATACTATTTCTTTTACTTCACCCTAATTACTACAGCCTTTGGTCTTCCAGAATGTTTTTGGTTCAATTCCGTTTCCACCTTAATTTCAATTTTACCATTTCATTTCCACATTCTATTCTAGTTCTACTATCTCATCATTGAGCAGTTGGTGGCTACCTTGTATTTTGAAATATAGACTTATAGAGTTAAATGATCTCATTGCATAAATTCTTACATGAATAAGAATCCAGATTCGTGAATTTGAAATGTTTTAAGACTTGTTTTTCTCAATTATTATGTAATCAAGGAAGTAAGTTTTTGAGGTTACCCTATCACCTTCATTAATTTTTATTACTCCCTTCATCCCGACCTAAGATTCTCATTGTAACATGGTAAAATTATTTAGACAATAATTAAATAAAATAATTCGAGTATATTTTGAGAAAGAAATTTGATTGATATATAATATAACGAGGTCATTGATGAAAACTATGGTGTTATAAATGTATTATTTTTAATATTTGATAATTAAATTATCATTTAAGAATGCAAATTATTTTCTAAAAAGAAAATTGAAAAACCTTTGGCTGGGACAACCAAAGGTTCTAACAGTACTTCCCTTGTACGTGTTCAAATTATTTTCTAAAAAGAATTGGATGTGTTTAATTGTATTCTAATTTTTTTTCTTGAAATATGCATGAGTTGTCCCAAAATTACTGATTTTCTTTTAGTTCTGTTCGGTCACTTATTGGAATTGTTGGGCATATTTTTTTGGTTTGACATCACAAAAATCACTTATTTAAGTTTGATATGACTTGAACTGATCTGGTCGGGTAGATATTTGGTCTATGGATATTTAGAAAATTCTACATAAATAATGTAAGGAACTTTGTTAAATTCTAATCGAACACGACAAAAGTTTCCATAGTTCATAACTTTTCAGATCCGATCTAGCCTGATTTGTTTTATACTCCCTCCGTCCCACTAACAATGGGACAAGAGGGAGTGACACGCAAATTTATAAAAAGTGGTTTATGTGGTTGATATTGAATTGATAAAACAAGAATAAAGTAAGAATGATTTAGAGTCACACAAATTTTACCAAATAAGGTATGAGACAATCTTAGTGAGACGGACCGAAATGGTAAAATGAGACAATCTTAGCGGAACAGGGTAGTAATTGAGTTGGTTTGAACTTGTCTAGTATATATAAGGGGTATGGACATTGAGAAAATTTTATACGGAGTATAAATAATGCAGAGAATTTTTTTTTTAACTTTAGTTGAATACGACAACATTTTTCACAATTCATAGTTGTATTTTTGAAATTTTAATTTAATGTAACACAAATATATAAATTACTTTTAGGTTTTCTTTAATTTTTTTTTTGAAAATAGGTTTTCTTTAATTACATGGTATAATCTAACATGAGCTCTGCTTCTAAATCAATGTAACATAAATGTAACGTTGAATAATTCTGACCCAGTAGTTCTAAATTAATGTAATACGGAATATCATTAATATGGATTCTAATCTAACATACTCTTTTTTTGGATGAAATGTAAATATATATTAACACCCAAAGAAGAAACTATACATTTTAGATCTCCTAACCCCCACCGAAGTGGGGTTGGGAGAAGGTTTTGATTCAATGTAAGTCAAAAACAAGCTAGGGCCAAAGTAAACAATACTAGGCCCCCAAACATCAAAAAGCTATCAGTGCTGTAATATTGCACGCACACAGATCTAAGTCATGAGAACAATATACATGGCATATGATGTTGCAAGATGCACACATCCCTTTGCCCAAAAGTAAATCAGTGTTGTGGCATTTGAAAGTATAAAAAAAGGTCTTCAATCAGAATTTGATCAACTCATGCGGGTATATGTTGAATAAGATCTTATATACCACATGCTTGATTTTCGAGACAATCTCGTCTTCACTCTTGTTGCCTCCATCAAATCTGTTTGCATTCCTCGCATGCAACAAGTGGTACACCACGGCACAAGCTAGCCGAACTGCTTTGCCCTTCAACTTGGATCCCTTATGCTCCTTTAGTATCCATTTAACCGAGCTTTGAAGCGTGGTCATATGGTGATCCATCCCCAACCAGTCCTTGATGCGCTCCCAGACCCTACGAGTGAAAGCACAAAGAAAAAATAGGTGTGACATTGTTTCCAAGCCACCCTTGCAAAGGTCACATCTATTTACTATATGCAAATATCCAAGGTTATCCTGTGTAGGTAACCGGTTTCAGAAGGCTAGCCAAACATTAAAGGAGAATTTTTGAGGGATATAAGACTTCCAAATGAAGCTCATCCAAGCCCTATTTGTCCCGAAATTAGGGCTAGCCAACAAGTCATAAACTTTGCCTGAAATTAGCTTGTCGTTAATGGATCTAGCATTCAAACCCATATGGTATCATTCCGATTGTTAAAACGAACAGACCATAATTTGGTCCCGAATGTGACTCAATTTCTTCATGAACATTGAGTCACGGTTGTGTGGGATAAAATCCCACACACTCCTACCATTAAGGTAGACCCCATTGACCCACCTCACCCAAAGGGTGTCTTTCTTCCTATGAACATCCCAAAGTGTTCGAGAGAGGAGAACATGATTCCAAATCTTGGCATTATGAATGCCAAGGCCCCCCTCCTCTTTTGGTAGACAGATGTCGTCCCAAGCCACTTTAGAATATTTCCCACCCCACAGAAAAATTCGGCAAATAGAAACTATCCTACCCAAGATAGTTTGGGGGACCGGGAAGACTTGGAGCTAAAAATATAGGACCCCTTGGATCACAGATCTTATCAACTCTAGTTTTCCTGCATAGGATAAGGTCTTTGCGTTCCAAGCCTTTAAAAAATCCGAAATTGTATCAAGCAACGGTGAATATTGCACAACGGAAACCTTTAGAGGGGCAAGTGGAATTCCGGGGTATTTAACAGGGAATGTACCACGCCCGAAGTCCACAAGGGCCATAATCTCCTGGAGATCATTATTATTCACTTTAAGGCCCGATGCATCCCCAAATTCCTCAAGGGCTTTGACAAGTATTTCAATTGAATAAGTGTCGCCCCTAGAGAAGAGTATTAAGTCATCTGTGTAGGCCAAGTGGGTCACTCCAAGTTTTGCACATTGGGGATGGAAATTAAAATTTGGCCCTTTGGTTTTCAAATTAATTAGTCGGGAAAAATATTCTAAGCAAAGGACAAATAGAAATGGAGACATTGGATCTCCTTGCCGAATGCCCCTCTTACCCTCAAAGAAACCATACAACAAACCATTCAAGGAAACGAAGAATGAAGCCGTGGTAACGCACTCCATAATCCATCCAACAAATCTCGAGGGGAAGCCCAAACCCCTTAGACGCTATCAAGAAAACTCCAAGAAATAGTATCATAGGCCTTACGCAAATCCACCTTGATCATGCATCTAGGTGAGATTCGCTTCCTCATGTATCCTCTAACAAGTTCTTGTGCAAGAAAATTGTTATCAAACATGAGGCGGCCATCAACAAAAGCACCTTGGGCTAAGTCAATCAAGCCGGGAAGGCATAGAGTGAGTCTAGCCGCAAGAATTTTAGTAATTATTTTATATAAGACATTCGTACAAGAGATTGGTCTATAGTCCGATACCTTCGGTGAGTGATTCGTTTTTTGGGATAAGTGCAATAACCGTGTGGTTTATTTGCTTAAGTAACTTACCCGAACGAAAGAACTCTTTGACGGCCCGGACTATGTCATCCCCAATAAATTCTCAATTAGACTTAAAAAACGCGGATGAATAACCATCCGGTCCCGGTGCCTTGTCATTGCATATGTCAAATAGAGCATTTTTAATCTCTATTGTCTCGACCGGGGCAAGAAGGCTATCATGAACACTTGGTTCAATCAAAGGACCGGATTCCAAGACCGTGAGGTCAAGGGGTTGGCATTCGGAATTGGTACCCAACAATTCAATAAAAAAATTTACAAATTCACTCCCAACTTGCTCCAAAGAGGTGGTGAGGTTGCCATCCTCCAAAGTAATAGAAGAAATGGCATTCCTCGTTGTCTTCTTCCTCACTATAGCATGAAAGTACCTAGTCCCCTTGTCCGCTTCTAGGATGTGAGTTGCCTTCGCCTTCTGTTGATAGAAACTAGTTTCGGCCTCACTCAGGAACTTTGCCCTTTTCATGGTTTCCACCAACTGGTTTCTGGTATCCACATTCGTCGGATTTTGGAGAGATAGTTTGTGCAATCTTTTATTCCATCATTTTCAATGGAGCCAAAGATTCATTATTTTTTGGCTTGGGAATATGATGGAATAAAGCAAAATGGCTCATTAAACTGTTTGCGCTTCTTTGTTATGAAGCAGCAGTCAGTCCATGCAATTTTGGACACGATTTTCAATATGGGTCATCCGGAAACAGTCTCTCTGTGCTTTAGTACAGGGGTAAGACTACATACATCCGACCCCCTTACCCCACCGTAGGTGGGAGCCTTTGCGGCACTGGGGTAAATGAAAATGAAAATGATGAGTTTGTGCAATCTTTTATAGTCCTCTTTCGCCCTCTTCACTTTGCTTGAAATGTGGCCAAACTCTTTGGTATTTAGGTCTTTAAGTGGCCTTTTGAGCAACTTTAGGCTCCTTACCATCAAAAATTGCATCGTGCCCTCAATGTCTCGGTTCCAACTCTGCGCTACTAAATTAGCAAACTCGGGATGTTTAATTCACAAATTAAAAAACTTAAACAGTTTAGGCCTTAAAGAGGAATTATTGAGTATTGATATTATGGAAGCCGTATGATCAAACTCAACCTCCATTTCATGGAAATGGGCCCTTATTTTTAAACCATTTTGGCACCAAATATCATTCACTAACACACGGTCAAGCTTAGCCCAAAGTGCACCTGTATTCCACGTGTAGAATTCACTGGTAGAAGGTGCGTCCTCTAGGCTAGCTTGATCTTTAAAATAAAACAAGTGTTGCATTAAATATGCCGTAGGTGGGGCAAGCCCCACCCTTTCATTTGGAGCACAAACACAATTAAAGTCCCCCGCTAAAACCCACGGTTCGGTTAAAATCATCCCCTAGAATAGCAAGTTCTTCCCATAATGCCTTGCGCTCCAATACGGTATATAACGGATACACAAAAGTGGATAGAAAAGCCATTTGGGAGATACGACACACACATTTAAGGTGTATATATTGTCCTTCAACCACATGAATAACACAGTTTATAAGATTCGGGTTCCACATCAAGGTCATACGCCCACCATTTATTTTATTAATATTATTTTCACAAACCCACCCCAGCCATTTATTCAAAATTTAGTTATTAAAATTGGTCGTGGTCATTTTTGTTTCAAGAAAGCAACATAAACTCACATTATTAGCATTAATATAGCTAGCAATTAAATTATGCTTAGAGGTTTTGTTCAAACCTCGGACATTCCAAGCAAGGATTTTAACCATTTAAAATAGTAAAGGTCGAGAGAAGGTACCCCAAAAAACAAAGTCAGCAAGGACACATTCAGCAAGAAAGGTAGAAATCTGAGGAGAAGGCCTCATCATCGGGGTCTATCCCTCCTTTGTCCTTGCTTTCTTTCCTAGCTCTTTCCTCATCTCTTTCAAGTATTTCTTGTTCCTGTCAAGGTTAACGTCGAAGAATGATAATACACGTTGAATAAAGGTAGGTTTATCAAAATCATACCATTCACCGTTCTTTTTGACCTCCGGGCAGCTAAGTAAAAAGTCTTCAGTGAAATTAACCCGCTATCATCCCAATTGAGCTCATCCAGGTTCAGCCCTAGCTTGACAATGTTAATTCCCTTTGGTACTTGGTCTGTTTCCCACACATATGCAATAGTTTTTCCTTTTTCATTCACACGGACCACTGTAACAACATTATCGTAACCCATCTCATACATATTGGTGACCAGGTAACCTTTCCCCCATTAATGGTTGGGTCACCTCGGCTTTCAACAAAGGCAGCGGCAGGAGCGGCAATTTTTCCAATAATATTATGTTCATGGGCCTCAAATTCACCGTTAGGCAGCGAACTGATAGCATCCAGGTTGGCTCTATCCAAGTTGACAGAACTGGCAGCATCCAGGTTGGCTTTATCCAAGTTGGCAGAACTAGCAGCATCCAGGTTGGCTTTATCCAAGTTGGCAGAACACTCAATGGCCATTAGTTGCTTTGCTTGCAAGAAATCAACATTATGTCGGGCCTGCACATCAAAGAAACTAGCAACATTAAGCGTAAAAATATTTTTATTTATATTGTACCATGTTCACGTGCGTCGGACTCCCGGGAGCGCAACCAGACAAGGGTCAGTGAACACCATGGCAGGAGCTTCCAAGTCATTCTCCCTTTGAAAATTCTTTTTTAGCCTGGAAACCGGAATGAAGCTTTTGATTTGATGACGTTTTTTTGACAAAAGCTATGTGCGCTCCATCTTCCGTGGGCACGAATTTATTGATAATGTCCCCCGGTTCCAAATCATGCACGCTCACAACTTTCCTCCCTACCCAGTCATAAATAGGATTGTTGGCGTCAAAGAGCAGAGGCGTAGAGCTAGTCCTAGTGGCAGAATGATTGGACGCATCACAAGTATCATTGATTGGGGTTTGGGGCCTCGGTCCAGTAACATTTGCCGCAACACTTTGGGGCCGCAAACCAGTCTGGATAGGCTCCTGTGACCTCGGTCCAGTGACTTTGGCAGGTTGTAGCAATCCAGTAGCTTTTGAAGAGGAAGTTCCATTAATATCAACTTGATCTTTTCTCACAAATGTCCCTGTTTTTATTACGGTTCACCATCACAAATGGGGGTTCACCATTGTTTTCTAAACCCGGGGAGATGAGAGCAGGCCCCTTCCCTTTCTCTTTGGTAGTAGGCACCATCCGAGATTTATCCTTAGGAGGATTTAGTATCAAGCAAGTGAAAGGATTATGACCAAATTTTTTGCATTGGAAATAGTACTCTGGATAGGTCTCATAGATGACCTGCTGCATATACTCCTTGCCCGAGGGCGGAATAATTGGGAACTGCATAACCGGTGGCTTAGAAACGTCAACTTCAATAAGTACACGAGCAAAATGAGGATAAACTGCATCTTGAGTGACATTATCAGTTGTGATTGGACATCCCACTTGTGAGGAGGCTATCATTCCAATTTCTCTTGCCTTCCAAAGCCTCATGGACAGTTTTGGGAACTTAACCCAAATGGGCTGTTTTAAGAATTCTTCAGAATCTGTTGAGAAATCATCAGAGAGCTCCTTGAGATACATAGTCTTCCTGTATAGGACATAAGCCCCCCCAGATAGCACATGCATACGGTCCTCCTCACTTTTGAATTTGAAAATAACCCACCCTTTACTATGGGATTTGACGTCAACCCTCAATTCCCATTTGGTAGTCATAGCATGAATAGCTTTCAGCCCGGGGAACCTTCCAGAAAAATAGCCCACCAAACAATAGCCCCATATTTCAACAAGAGTTGGGACCTTTAGATGTGAGAAATCAAGTTTTCCCCCGTGGGGGGGAAATATTCAAGCTTAAGGCCACACGTTGGTGCTCGGTTGTTATGGAAAAGAGAATTCCATTGTTTTTGCTCACCGCCCGCTTTATCTTGTTTTTCTATTATTTTTGATGGAATAGTATCATGGGACCCAAGAGATATAGACCCTTCGGCTACATTGATGGTCTCCACATCATTTTCATCCGATGTCTCAATAATAGGAGCATCCCCATTTGTTACTGGAATGACAGTCAGGGATAACTCTTTTGATGGCTCAACAATTGAAGATTCATCACTCATACCCAGTAGGGCTGCTGCATAGGAAGCTTGAGGAGCCTCTGCATTAGGAGAAACCAGCACCCGGTCCCAGGGGATTCTGCAACAGTAGCTCTCAGTCCCCCAATTTCGGTTGTTGTCTCAGCATTGATCTCTGGTTCCGGTGAATTCACAGCATTTGCATCAAGTCCCATGCCTTCAGCACACTCCACAACAATTGATTCATTTGCCTCCGTTGAGTTAGCAGAAATGACTGGGCCATCTATTGGTAAATCCTCCGGAAATACCCCCTTTTTAATCATTTTTTCCGCTTGGATAACAGCCTTGGCAGCCTTCTTCTCAGCTAGGTATTAGATTTTTTTCCTCAAAAAGCTTATCCTTAGCAGGTGGTGTACGCTGCTATTTGTTCTTCTTTGTCATGGTGAGACGGATGCTAGAAACCAACTCCGAGTAAATAAGGGGTAATCCCCTTGATCAAGAGAAACAACCTGCATAGTTAGTCTGACCAAAAACACAAGCACACAAAACATGGCTACTAGTACACAACAGTACACAAGTTATTGGAGAAGATAAACAGTGCACAGATATAGATAACTTGGTCAGAAAATTCCAAAAATACTTTCACAGATACCCTCTGCTATATGGAACACCCCAGTGAAAAACCGTATAGCAAAAGGACTAGCAGGGAGTTCACAATTAATTCCTAACTAGTCTGATGCGCAGTAAACACTGTAGCAGACAGTTGAGGAAGATGAATAGTACCCCAAACTTTTGGTTAATAAGAGAAGAAGGAGGTACTCGCAGCTTCGTTTTGACCAGATGAATCCAAATCCAGTTTCAGAATTCAAAATAAACGTCGGAAGAAGTGGGAATCACAAGTCAACGCTCTGCTTTTAACAGTGAAGCACCGCAACGGTCAGTTTAGAACTCCAGTACGGCGGTGCTTAGGTGACCGAGAACCAGGTGAGGGAGGTGCGCCAAGGGGTGGCGACCCCAGACAACCTGCGTCCTCCACCAAGAAGCATCCAAGAGAAGATCGAAGATGAATTTCCAAATCTGCGAATGAACAGTGCGACTGGGAGTTCAAATAGTTCTATGTTTCTTGCTAAAAATTCCAGATCTCCTAAATCCAAATCGGTAGATAAGGAGCTCTTATGAATTCCGAACAAGAAACAAGAAGAAAATCAGTGATCGAACAATTTGATTTTGTGAGAGAGCAGATCTTGGTCGCGAGCAACCTAGAGAAATCCGACTTTTGAGGGTGCGAATTTTCCTAGAGAGAAGGCAGAGGTTTCTCAACACACATACTAAGGTATGGGTAAACTTTTTATAGTGACTAGCTCCACCGCTTTCACGGCCCCTTACCCCAGAAATTCAACTTTGGCTTGGCCCTACGGGTTAGTATACACCGCTTGGCCCTACCACTTGAAGGGTTTTTGGAGGGAGCATAGTTCCACTGGTGCTAGTGGGACTCGAACACGAGACCTCTCCTATGCAAGGGTAACCTCACAACCAGCTAGGCTAGAAGTGATGGTTATACTCATACTAGTTTAGTAACGCGCGATGCGCGTCTGTGTAAATGCCCAACATCAATGTAGTAAAAGTTAACCTCTGGCATTAATAATTACGCAGAATGTTTTTTTAAATCTCTTGTGTTTGTGAAACTTGTCATTATTTAATTAGTTGCTTTCATTTAGAAAAAATTAAATAACAGATGAAGCTCCAGAAATAAGCCAAGGAAATTATGTTTTTGTTTATATATGGTAGCTTCTCTGACCCGCTCTGGAGAAGCAGTCGAACCCATTTGTTGGAAAGATTGGAGAGAAAGAACCTAACTGTTTATAGAAATGTGCTTTTGTGAGCACCACACAATAATAATTAGACAGTGTAATCAATAATTGCATGGACTATACCACCCTAATAAAAAAAATGAGTAAAGGGTCAGTTTGGTCATCGAAGTTGCAAAAAAGGGGTCAAATAAGTCCTTATATAGAAGATTCTGTCCGGACGTACCATTTGAGGTGGCTCCCGGTAGATTTTTTTAATTAATTTTTTTGAGCATCTTATTCATTAAGTCTAGTTTACTCATACCAAATTTCAGCTAAAAATTCAATCGGGAAGACATTCAAATGAATTCTTGAAGATAATTGCGCTTTTAACGGCACTGTTATATTCAAGAATTTATTTCAATGTCTTCCCGATTGAATTTTTATCTGAGATTTGGTATGAGTAAACTAGACTTAATGAATAAGATGCGCAAAAAATTTCATCAAAAAATTCCATCGGGAGCCACCTCAAATGGCATGTCCGGAGAGAATCTTCTATATAAGGACTTATTTGACCCCTTTTTTGCAACTTTGAGGATCAAACTGACCCTTATCCCTAAAAAAAATCTTCTTTCTAAGCACTTTTTCTGAAATACTATTGTATTAGATAAACCAATATCCTATCAAAGGAAAATATTGGATAATAGATAGTATAATACTGCGTACTTCTTTGAAGCAAAATAATTAGTATCAGTTATCTAAATACCATATTTTAATACTGAAATAATTACACACATGTTCAGAATTATCACAACTAACAAAGACATGTTTTTTGTGTTCTCTTGCTTACAACAATAACATGTAGAAAGGATTTGCAGAGACATTCTTTTATTGGGGGTATTGTGACCAAATAATATTGAAAGATGTCTCACTATCATTTCAATTGTTTAAGATTCTTTCACATTAAGTGAGAAAGAAATTGTCAGATTTATCTTCAAGATCAATCTAAAAAGGGTTTCCTTTACCCTATATAATGGGAAATGTTTTTTACAAGGTTCTTAGTCATGGTATTGCTCTATTTGTGAATGTTCCACTTGGCATCATAAATTTAGTGAACAACATTATGAGTCCTCCTAGTTAGTAGTGGACCGGACCCAGTCCGGTTCCGGTTCCGGTTCGGGTCTAGACCCGACCGGGCCTGGAAGGTTTTAGGTAAGGTCTGGGACCGGTCCGGTGGGCTACCCGTTCCGGGCCGGGTCGGTTCCGTTTTTTTTGTTTTGTGTTTTATTATTTATTTCAACCCCTACCCCCATCCCCCCACCCCCCCCAAACCCCTCGGAATCACCTAGCCCAGCCCACCTAAACCCAACCCAACCCCCCAACCCCTAAAGAAATAGAGGCCCGAACCGGCCGAGCCGGTTCACAATTTACACACACCGGAACCGCCCCCGGTTAGCATGCCGGGTCGGGCCCAGGCCCGGTACTGTAACCGATCAACCGGGCCGGGCCCGCACAGTAGCGGGCTGGGTCGGTCGGACCGGGTCCATGACTACTCCTAGTAGATGAAGACAAATTTTCAAGGGGTTACTTGGGATCAAATTATCAGACTAAGAAAGGGTATTTCATTCCCCAATGATCCAAGTAGTATATCATCCCTAATATCCAACATGGATTTAATATTCAGTTACGTGATAGGATCTCTAGATTTAAGCTTTACTGGAGAACTTCCACCAAAGTTTACACCTGAAAGACTTGGCCGAAACATTTTGAGGCCGTTTGGCAACATTAGTTTTCGGTTTATCAGGCTTATCAACCAACTTTTTCACCAAACACGTAATTTTTGTTTGCACGCGCTGAATTGTGTAATAAACAGAAAAAGTAAGGTTGGAGGTACTTTTCTGACTGTATTGGCTGAAGTTATTGTAGATGACTATTTTAGCTATTTTTACATATAATTTTTTCTTTATTTTATTAATAATATATATTTTAAATTTTTTTTTCTTAAATCAGCAGAATCAACCAATGCAGTCATTTCAGCAAGAACTTCATAAATTTCAACAGAATCAGCCAAAATAGCCGATTTTGGTGCTACCAAACGGGCTCTTAGTAATCTCAAGTCTAAATCCTACTATACCCAAAAGTAAACCATGTCCTTAAAAATAAACCATTTACCCAAAATGAACCATTTTACTAAGTTCAAAACAATCCAAGAAAAAAATGTCTCGACCAAGACCAAAGGAGAAATACTGTCACAGTAGCAAAAGATGGATGAATCATGAATGGAATTACATTTTTTCCAAAAATACATCAAAGTTATTGACTTTTGTTCTAAGCTTTCTACCTAACATAATGAGATAAACGGCTTGCAAACTATAAGAAACTCAATTTCCTTTCATAGTGCATTGAAAACCTCTGCCTTTCATAGTGCATAATTAAAACCTTTTAATATAAATAAATAATAAGAGAAAGAAGATGAAGTTTCAACACATTAATCACTCAAAGAAATCAGATCTGATCTTAAACCTAATCACAATCAATTCACATGTAATTAATCACATGAAGGTAATTTTCTGCAATCGATTCAGATGTTTCTTGTCGATCAGCCCAGATTTTCCCATCCGTCAGATTCGCTGCTTAAGTAGGAGTCGCCGGGTTCAGGGGAGCTGCAAGTTATGTGGACTTTCTTTGACGTTCTTTCCTCCCTCAAGTTTTGCGTGCCCAACCACCGCGGCTGGGTGAAGAGTTTGTGAACAAAAAAGAAGAGGGAGGGTTGGGCAGAATCAGGCTAGAGTAGAGGAAGGGTTGAATGCAAATGCTGAATACACCGTATAGTATTAATTCCAAATGTAAGAAATCGCAAATGGGGGTTTAATGCCAAAGCTGACCCTCCGTTACCTTTTACTCTGGCATAATAACAGTTATAAGCTTGAAGTAAATATGCAGCAAGTACAATCAGGCAATGCTGAAAGAGACACGAACATTTTTCTTAAGACCATTATATCTCTAACAATATTCATGCTTATATAATTGTAGAGATAGAGATTCTATTGTGATTTAATGTAGCATACATAATTTATATAATTAATATAAATGATATCAAATTAGAAAGAGAATTTAGGATATAGGTGTATAATTATAATGAATGTTTTCGTAGAAGATACACACATAATAAAACGTTCCATAATTTGTGACCTTTTTTTATCATCAAATCCAACTAATATATTAAATCACAATGACGTTCGTCACATTGTCTGATAATACAATCAAGGAAAAAGAAATAAACAAAACGATAAAAAGTCTTATGTATGTCATCCGCCCTCGAACCAGACTGAGAATCTATCACCTCAGTAGAACAATAACATTCACTGATCCTGTAATGGGCTTAACTGAGCCAATGGCTGGCAAACTAGACTTCTCATCACCTAACCTAAATTCAAGAATTTCTCTGCTTGGAAAGAAGAACATGTCCAAAACAACATGCAATTCGACAGAAAAACACAAACTGAATAAAACGGAATTAAAATAGAGTGCAACCATCTTCTTCCAAACCCTAGATTTGCTTGCACTCCATGGCGGCAGCTCAGGAGGGGGATGCGCCCGCCACTCATCCGCCACAACCTCAATATCAGCTTCATCTAGATCCAGTTCTTCTTCCTCTGTCCCAATCGCCATCTTCTTGTACTTGCCCACGAAGCTTTCCCTACAAAACTGTTGCTTTAACCTTCTGCCAGAACCTTGCCGCAGTTCGAAGCTCCTTCGATCCAGCCGCCTCAAATCAGTCGCCGCCCGCCTCAGCACCAAATCCATCGAACTAGACCCTCTTTGTGATTGAATCCCTTCCCAAATCCGAATTACTAAATACGAACAAACGAAAATCCACAAAAACGGCCAGAGAAACCCCAGCCCCGCCCCTCGACTAAGTCAATGGCGGACGAAAAAACGCTAAACGTTACCCGAAGGTAACCCTAGAGAGAGAAAATTTTCCAAAAGCTTTCGTGTTGCGCCCATAATTTGTGACTTTGGAAATCTAATTCCATCTGTTGATTTTTAATCATAAACTCATTATTTGTATTTCCAAAAATCATAAATTTTGACCTTAAGAATTTCTAGTCTAACATGGAATTTCAATTTTTAGCAACTCTAATGGAGGAAGAAATTAATCTACGAAAGAGCTTATAGAAATAATCTAGGGGTTAGGTCATGAATAAAACTAATTAAATGGTTTTCGACAAATATAGGACCTGATTTTGTATCTTCCAAAAATGAGACCATGCGTATACTTCATTTAAAAGTTTTAGAATGAAAATATCAAAAAGACCCTTCTTTCTCATCAACATAACGCACTAACGCAACCTAGTCCGGTTTCAAATTCCAATCAATGAGAATGCTATATAGGCAACACAAAACTGACAAAAGTATTACTTTAATAGTTTATGCTCGGTTATCCAACCCGTTCAGTTACAATTATCCGATCCGTCCAGTTACAGTTACCCGACTCATTTAGTTACAGTTACCCGACCTGTTCACTT